GCGTTAAATTATGATTAATTAATGTAACTGCATGAGATCTCTAAACAGAATATAAGGACTCTAAACTAAGGACTCTAAACAGAATATAAGCAAATATAAATCTATAAAACATCGATTGCAGATAAGCAGACGGTATAAGCGGTAGAGGAGCAGTTAGAAATAAAACGCGGCCGTATGTAAACAAACGACCGCTAAATCACTACAGGCATACGAACGACGATAAGAACAACATACGGCGGGAAATTGCCTACCGTTTAATATAACTAAGTAACCAGACATTACTAAACGATGTAGTCATGTAAATAAAGAAATGGTAGTAAAATACCCTGAAAAATTGCTATAGCAATGAACGGCAAAGCTCAAATATATTAAAATGCCGGAATAAATTAAAACATTTAGGAATCGATGACGTCATGTGTGGTGCTAAGTGCACCACCCGCACCACTCGCTCCAGAACCGCCACTCTGTATACTACTAAGGGGATTATAATGGGCATTGCAGCTGCCATACTGCTCATTCTCTACAAGTTTCTACGCGGTTAACTGTCTTATTATCAGTTCATTTTTTTAAAACATTCTTACTTTTATGTCACCACAGTAGAGAACATAGCATGCAAAATATGTTACTACGCGAGTTTTATATGCACTGCCTACTGGTTTGTGCCCTGATCAAGTCATGAAGTAGCCTGTGCACAAGCTGATTTACTTACGCCCTGGGAAAACTCGCACAATAGCTTGTCGACCCCTAGCAAAGATGCTCGATTCTAAGTAAGTGTGTCCCATTGGCCGAAATTTCTTGGAGTTCTAAAGCGTATGCTTATTGGATAGTGCCATGGAGTACACCTTGGCTACACCTCCATTGGACCAACAGAGTAAGCAATAGATACAGAGATCTAACTAGCTTGCGCACAGTAATTTATTGTAATTAAAAGTGACGTTTTTATGTACCCACCTTTTTTGTGTACGTGAGCTAAAAGTAAGCAACTGCGCATGCTCGGCAAGTGCATTGCAACTAAAACGCTCGGCAATTGTTTATACTTTCCATCTTAGGCACTTGACGGGCATGCGCACTGAAAAAGTGGGTACACTAGTTGGACTCTGTATCTATTATTTCCAATTATTTCCTCTGTGATCGCACTATCCAATAAGCATACGCTTTTGTATTACGGGCGTAATTCAGGCTGTGCACAGGCTAGTCATGAGACACTGGCCTGAATTTAATGATTGTGAATTAAAGTTGAAGTGAATTTAATCTTTGGGTGATCACTAGATCATATAATCTAACGACACCCTTCCCTGCCATTGGGGTTTTAAACAAGATAATAGCGTGGAATCAGGGCTACAGGGCCGACACTAGAATGATAATTGGGGTGTAAAAGCTTTGCTATGGTTGATGATGCACATCAAAACGAGGTTGTTATTAAATGATATTGTGAAATTTGGAAAATCTCACATGGAAGTTTTGGCGGGAAACACAGGGCGCAGAACAAAATAAATAAAACAGAATTCTATGAATGAACTAGTGTTCAATAAAACGTATAGATTCGGGGTTTTTTTGGGAAATTTTAAGAGGACAGTATTTAAATCGCGGTTTCGCAATTCGATATTGATGGATTTATGTATTACTTCACTCATAAAGAACATGAAACTGGACATTTGGACTGTATACATATTTGTAGGTAAAAGTTACCTAACTTTATATTATACTTTATAGTCGAATTTAAATCGGTTGGACAATGGCTAAGCTTCTTGGAATTCAAAGACGACTCCCATATTTTGGTCTTCGACCCAATGATCATCACAGCAGCACAAAACTTGTTCCCTGCAGATTTGTTATGCATATTAGGTATTTCACATCAACCTCCAAACTATACCAAGCCCGGTATAATCCACTTGACATTCAAATGCTCTCAAAGTCCCTTCACAATCAAATTTTTGGGCATGTTACAAGTGAAGTTGAGAATGTTGAAATTAATAAAAGTATTGACCACCTATCGAGGCATAATCTTCATGGTAGACACAAAAGCCTGATACCTGATGTAGACTTCAAGTTGCCACAACTTCGGGGCCAAAATATCGAAGAACATTTTGAGATTATTGCCAAAAACAGACTAGAAATTATGTAGAAATGGCCAAACGACTTTCCCAAGTTAGTTTACCATCAAGACCAAAAGAATGTGTTTTGAGCCTGGGTGGACAAAATATTTTCATGATGGTGATTTTATAGTTGGTATGCCTGTGGAGTGTCCTGATGGTGATGCAATGGTTTTTGATGTTGAGGTTGTGTCAATGAAGGACAGTTTCCAACCCTGGCAGTTATGGCAACACCAGATATACTGGTATGCTTTTTTAATTATAAAGAGGATCAGCCTTTAGATGTAATAGAGGTTTTCCTGTTAGCCTTTTCTAAACAAGGTATATATCATGAGCTTGGGTACAAGAGTATAAGCCTATAAGGTACCAAATGATATGCATTAAGATGTCCACACAGATTCCCCCGCTGTGTCTCCTTACAATTATTAACATGCGTTATTATAGTTTCTATGTTTGTTAATACTAGAGAACTTTTGGGGAAATCATGATATGACATCATTGAAATGTTGGTCAAATGGAAATTAGGTTTTGGTGTATAGACGGGGCATGCAAATTGTCAATAAATGTCACTATGTCATGGTACTGGTATCTTAAGATAGTATGATGTAAACACATTGACCAGGCTTCCTATAGTAGAACAGAGTTCATTTATAACTTTGTTTTGAAATTTGCAACTAACACATGGATTCTTAATTGATCAAATCAGGTACTCCTGGGTGAGTCATCGGCTTGTTGAAGAGAGGAGCTATCAGTGGTTTCTCCACCCCAAGATGCCAGACTTGATTCCATTTGAATTAGAACAACATCAAGGCAACATTTGGCAGGAGAAGCTTGTAATAGGCCATTCTGTGGGCTATGATCGCAGTTTCATTAAGGAACAATATTTGATCAAGGTTTGAAGCTTTTTAATTCTACAGTCAACCCAGAAAAATATGCATGCAAACAGTACATGTACATGTAATTTGTCCCAAACCAAAACCACTAACTGCTAGACTATGAATGTGTATATTAATTCATATATATATAAATTCATGTTTATATACCCTTAGGAATAAAAGAAATCAGACTTGCATAAGACCTATATATGAATATAATATATATATATATATATATATATATATATATATATATATATATATATTAAAAATCAATGAAATATTACAAAATTTTAAATATATTGTTCGCTACACTCTGTGTTTCACGTTTCTTCTGAAACGATCATCAGGCAAATATATATATATATTATAATATATATATATATATATATATATATATATATATATATATATATATATATATATATACCTTCCAAATAAGCTTCTAGCTATGGCCCTTCATGTAATATATAAGGGATACTCTAATGATCTTGAGGGATGGGGATATAAAATTCATGAATCTTGTAAATAATTTGCATACTGAAATGGCTAGCAGTCTCCTCAAGTAAATGAATTTCAATTTTCAGGGACCGAAGATGTATTTCATTGACACACTAAGTTTGCACATGTGTATATCAGGCCTTACGGGTTTGCAACGTAACATGACTAAGGCAGCCACTGTGGGCAAGTCTGAGAAGGAGGATTGGATGGACATTAGCTGCTTGAATAATTTACAAGATGTTTATCAGTTGTATTGTGGCGGTAAAGAGTTGGATAAAGAGAAGAGAGATGTTTTTGTTCATGGGACTTTGGATGATGTAAAAGAACAATTTCAGGTAGTGTTTTATGGTAGTTCCATATTTCAAATTCTGTATGAATGTGCTTAATTACAATAAGGTTGTGGTTGGTGTTATTATAACACTCCTCCACTGCACTTCCACAAGACAAAAAGGTCATGCAGAAAATTTCAATACTATAAAATTTAGCTAATAAAACTAATAAAAGTTTTGATAATTTTGTGATGCTCTTCCCACTTGCCATGCGGGGTGAGTTTTGCTATCTAACTTGACTATAAACATGGCTAAAGTAAGCCTGTTTCGGTAAAGGCCTGATTTCTCCTCGAGTAACCCCAAATTCAATGAATCATTGCACACCTGAAATCATTTTCAAGAAATGTACCTTTATGCCAGATAAAGCTATTGGCGGCGTTTTTGATCCATGATGACTTTTCCAGGAACTCATGACGTACTGCTCTAATGATGTCTTATGTACACATGAAGTATTTTGCCAAATATGGCCGTTGTTTTTGGAAAGATTCCCTCATCCGGTGACATTGGCAGGCATGCTTGAAATGGGTTTAGCATATCTACCTGTCAATCAAAGTTGGGAGAAGTACATTGCGGACTGTGAAGATACGTATGACGATTTAGAGAGGGAAATGAAGAGCTCGTTGATGAGACTAGCAGATAATGCATGTCACCTTCTTCATGATGATCAGTAAGTTTTATCCATTTTAAAACCACTCCCAACCTTCTCTGCAATCTACATGTAATGAACAAGTAACTTCCAAGCGATTCCCTCCATCTTTCACTTTCAAGCGCGGGAAATGCACGATATTTTATTGGCTAGTTTGATCAGCTTTGCGAAGCCTTTCGAACTTCGTGTGACATTTGACGCCTTTATGCGAAAGTTTTAACGGTTAACAGAAGAGCAATTTACCTCAAGAGCTGATTTTACAATTTCATGTAGCTATTTCATGTTTTTCAAAACTTGATTCGTTAAAGACCCTTATAATAAACTTAAAAGTTCATTTGTATTAGTTTTTATATTCACGCGTGGAGGTTTATCGAATTCCCTAAGGTGTGAAGCTAGTAAATGCATTAAACAGTCCGTTCTTTACGTAGGTATAAGAACGATCTTTGGCTTTGGGATCTGGACTGGTCGGTTCAGGATGTTAGAATAAAAAAACCAAAACCTCCCAAAAAGGGAAGAAGGAAAAAGCCGCAGGAAGACGCGGAAGTTGAAGTGGAAAATAAGGTATTATATTATATTAAAAGGTTTGCGGGGGCGTTTATAAAAGGTTTGCAGGGAGGGTGCGCACCCCCTATTCAAGGGCGGGGGGGGGTTGCAGATAGGGTGCAAATTCAAGTATCAATTAAAATTTGGGGGGTTATATAGGGAAATCAATGCCCAAGTTACATATATCTATGGGCTCTGACAATCTAGGTAGCACCTTATGGTCTTATTTTAATATTTTTTTAAAAAAACAGATTCTAATATTTCTGGCAACTGGCACTTGTTCCTCCGAACCCATGCTCGCGGGCACCCCCCCCCCCTACGAAACCGCTATGGATCCACCCACATCATTTCATTACATCATATTAACTAACAATTTTGGGCATGCATAATGGTATTTCATTTGCCTTTTATATGAGGGTTGTATGGTGTAAAAACAAGGGAGAATTCATTATCGACCACACGATTGTTTTACAAACAAACTGACTGTGGAGATGCCTTTATAACATCGCGATCATTGTATGTTTTGCAGAATAAAGTTGAGAATGATAATGAAGAAGATACGATAGAAGATATCATCGCTCGAATTCCACCAGTGGAAGATGTTTTATACAAGAAACGACAGCATCTGCCTGGATATCCACTGTAAGTACTTGCAATGCAATGGACCGATTTAGTCTCATATGCTATTAATACTTTTGAGAGATATATTTGGCAATTAATTTACAATAATATTGGCATTGGATGTCGTTGCATTGTGCCCGCATATGATGTTGTGTTCTGACAAGAAATCACATCTATCAAAAGAACACAAAAACATTGAAATGGTAATTTGCATATGGGGCTAAATTAGGCTATTATGGTTAAACAGGATTACAGCAAGATTTCAATTCTTGAACACTGTGTGGGTTGAAGTATTCACATTAACAAAGACACATGGTGTGAAGCCTGGTCAATAGTAATATTTAGTGGTGCATATTGTATGTACGTCTTTTTGATGTTTACAAAAGTTTATTTAAGATTGATGTGTTTTTATAACAGAATTTGTGTGTATTACTTTTTTTACGACTTTTAGATGGTACCGCAAGCTGTGTCCAAGAATGAACTCTGAAGATTGGACTAGAGGTTCCGTGCTGGTTAGTGCGCAGTGTCGGGTTGGTCCTAGCTTATTGCGCATGACGTGGGATAGATATCCGCTGTACTATCACGCTCGACACGGCTGGGGTTATCTCGTACCTGGTAGAGAGACAAATCTTTTGGAAAATGAATGTGAAAATTTTCCAAAAAGGTACCGTACTTTCATCATTTACAATCTTCCAATGTGGTTCGCGAGAATTAATCTATTTTCACTGCTTCTGTTGCAGAGCGTTTCAGGAACTCTGGCAACGTCTTAAAAATCATTCCGATGATAAAAAAAAACTTGCTTCAGTGGAAGGTGAAGAGGATGTTCAGCAACTCAGCGAAGGACAGTTGTGGAGCAGTGTGGAAGAAAACGAATTGAAGAATAAAGGTAAAATTTTACCGTAAATGAACGTTGAAAAAAGAAAGTAATAAAAATATACTTTTTTCAAAGAAGGACTTCCTTGCTCTTAAAGATGTAGCAGAACGCGATATTTTTATATTTTTTCCCAATTAAACAAACCGATACGGCCAGGATTTATATGGCCGATCTTGAGGGCCTAGTTATAAGTAAAACTGTACTGTTTTTTTGTAGTGCCTGTTAAAAGTTCGCCTCCCAGAAGTAAGATGAGAGTATCTCGAAAGCAAGACGCTCCTGATTTTCATCACGGCGTGGGACCATTCAACGATGTTAACTTACCAGGCGTGTGGTTCTTTCGCATTCCTCATAAGGTCGGCATTCCTTATTTAAACTATACAATATAAAGTGAGGCCGATTGCATGTCGTCTATATAGACTCGTTTACATTACACTCAATTGATCGGCACGGCCCGGCTATAAAATGGGTACCCGTGACTGTAGTGTAAACGGGACTTATAACGTTGCGAATCAAAATAAATTGTTTAAAATTGTTATCTTCTTAATTATGAATGCCCTCTTTGATGATTCAAGATTTATCAACATCTACACAAGCTTTTGTTTGTCTCGGGCATGTTTCATATCTTTCTTTGCTTCAACAAGTAACAAAGTAGGTTATGGGTTGTATCATGCGAAAAAATATTTTTTTAGGATGCTAGTCTCGACAACTGAATGCATACAGATACTGACTGGGGCGTGATTAGACTTTACGAAAGAAACATCACAATATATACACATGACTGAGTATTGAGAAAATATCTGTTTTGTTGAAAAGAAAATTTGCACTTCTTATAGAGCCTTTTCACAAAATTTGTTTATCTTCCTTACTTGGCAAGATATTTGCGATCAAAAACATCGGATATCGAGATATATCCGCCATCTTGTTTTATAACGAGATCTGATTACGTGACGTCCAAAGCAAGGTTGACGCTTAAAAAATAACAACTACATGTTTACGCTTTAGTTTAGAACTCTTACAATTCAAAAGTTATAATTTGAGATACTTGCGATTGTAATGAAACTATATCACTTCGCTCGATCGTTAATATGAAGTTACAGAACGAATTTTCACCCAGCGAGTTATCCCAGCTAGGCGAGGTAAAAATCGCATCACATCAAAGGCTTGACCTGATTAGTCTTTCATTATATGCAGTTTTCACCTCGCCTAGCCGGGATAACTTGCTCCATGCAAACAGCCCTAATATGCTGATGAATGGTAGCTCTTTAAAAATAATTTAAAGTGACATTTCACGGAATGATTCAATAATTTATGGTAAAATTTACTACCCTTTGTTCACCGAGCATTATTTTTTATTTCGTGCGTTGGCAATGTGTAATAATTCAACAAATTTGGGGGCATTTGAGTCAATGTCCCACACTTCTGAGTCGAGCTGTTCCCATTCTAGGACGGTGAAAAGTTTAAATGTGGCAATCCTCTTGCCAAAGACTACATCAGTAAAATGGAGGATGGTACGTTGAAGTCGGAAGGTGACGAGAGCGCCGAAAGAACGCTGCTGCTAAATAAAATGATATCATTCTGGAGAAATGCCAAAGACAGGGTTATGTATGTATTCTTCTCACTGCCAGCCTCACCGCTATATCTGTACGAGTGCAAAAAAGCTAACAATCTAAATAACACGCGGCCAAAATTAGTTGCGAACGACTCGTATCAATTTAGAAACCAATTTGCCTTGGCCTACTTCAACAGCTACTTCAAACTGTCTATCACCTTTGGCTTATTTCAGACCGGATTTGTGTACAGTTTGACTGTTTATACTATACCGTTCGCAACTTATACGTTGAAAATCACTAAAAATAAAGATCTAAATGGTGAAGAATAATACACAGTCAACAGAGTGTTTTTTTCTAATGTAGGTCACAATTGTATGTATGGCTCGACCAAGAACATCTTCCAAATGATGTCATTAGGTAAGTGTATAGCTACATGTTTCTAATCATAGTCTTGTTCTAATTGAAGCCCCCTTCGCTCCAGTGCGGGTTATCCAACCTTATCCATCTTCCACGCGATCTTTATCAACTTTTCGAAACAAGGAAATGATGTGATGAATAAATAAATACACGAATTTAATCCTTAAGATTAGGGTTAGGATTAGAGTTAGATTTATTAAACGTGGCCCCGTTCCAGGCGGAAGAACACGCGGGAAACTTGTTTGCAGAAGCAAAGCACGTGGTCGGGTTGTTAGGTGGAACCACTGCTGGGACTTAGGTAACACACACAAGCTGTGTGAGCGTGTCGCGGTTTCTGATTTTCCATTTTAAGATTGCATAAGGTCGTTGTTAATTTGGTTTAAATATTGTGCTTATCTTCCAATTTTTAAGAGAAATAATTGCGTTCATTCATGTTCAACAAAGCTATGTCTGCCCTTAATTCCTTACCCCGTTTTGACCTGCATAGTAACATGAGTCATGATTCTTCACCATGCTCCATCATGTTTGGTGTGTAAATAATGTATGCTCTTTGAGACCAGCTGAGTTTTGATAGAGACCTTCTGGTAGAATTCAAACTTGTTTTTTTCACTCTTCAATTTTAGATCATCTTTTTACCAATCAGATGAACAGTATGGTGCCATTTTACCAAGGCTTATTACTGCTGGTACTGTTACACGAAGAGCTGTCGAACCAACATGGATGACTGCCAGTAATCCAAGAGTAAGTAATCTACCGACAGTAAAAGAGATTAGAAAATATAAAATGGAGGATGAAAAGTACAAAAAGATCTATCTGTCTGAGCTTAGATTTGATGTTGAGATGGCTGCAGCAGGCATAGATCTTTGAAATTAACTGTATAATTGCAGTTATAAATCCTATGAGCTAATGTGAATTATACATACACTGTCTAAAAACGTCACAATTATATGTGCTCAAAATGCTAAAAGTATGAAGCGATTTAATGCGGTACTTTTTAGGTAGACCGTGTTGGTTCAGAGCTGAAGGCACTAATCCGGGCCCCACCAGGCTACTGCTTTGTTGGTGCTGATGTTGACAGTCAGGAGCTGTGGATTGCAGCCTTACTTGGTGATGCTAATTTTGCTAAAACACATGGTAGGCACAAACAATTAAATTTTGTATTAATTTCATTTTCCGTTTAAGTTCGCCACCTGTGAAAATTGTTTTTAGGGAAGTGTAACAATATTTAAAAGACATTGATCATCCCGTATTCCAGCAGAGAAACATTTTAAATAGCATTTTTGCATCTTTGTAAATAATTCAAGCAAGAGCAGTTAACTACCAACGTACGCATGGCAAAGGATATATTTAAAAAAACTATATGAAAAAAGTAGTTGATGAAAGGAGGGATAAAAGTATGGAATTGAAAGTTAAACCCTACTTTTCAGGCAGTACAGCATTTGGTTGGATGACTTTGCAGGGAAAAAAGTCTGATGGAACTGATCTTCACAGTAAAACTGCTGAGACAATTGGAATAAGCAGGGAACATGCAAAGGTTTCACCCACCAATCTTCTACTCCACAATTGTTTTTGAAAATTAGTTTTATGGTAGTGAACTTTACCTTACTTAATTTATTTTACATGTACCTTGTTTACAGGTTTTTAACTATGGACGTATTTATGGCGCTGGAGTAAACTTCGCGGAAAAATTACTACTACAATTTAATCATCGGCTCACAGAAAGTGAGGCCAGAGGCAAAGCTGAAAAACTTTATGCATCTACAAAAGGAATCCAGAGGTCTGTGTACTGACATAATGATCAAATAAAATTACAAAATACACTATACTACCATAGCTTAAAAAGTTCATATCAGAATAAACCAGTGAATTTTGCTTGGTATTTATTAACAGCTTGTATATTTTCTCCTTTAAGGCACTATCTCTCAGAGTATGGTTATGAAGTTGCCAGGAAGTACAAGTACGATGCTTATATTACAGAGGAGGGATTCTTAGACAGCAAAATCTATTATCAGTTATTAAAGGCTTCAAGAAGGACAAGGTATCATCTACATATGATGTTTCTGAAAAAAACACAACTCTAAGAAGTTTTTACAGTATATTGTGTATTTGATAAAAAAAAAAATGGTAACTTTTGGGAGCTAAGTCAGCCCCTACAGTACTGGAAACATACAACCTTAAATGACAGTGTTTCATTTAAGCTGAAAGTCCTCAGTGGAATTGCATGCCAATAAATTTGTGTTTTTAGAGACCAAGATAAAAAGATAAGCCTTTTCAAAGAGTGGCAAGAAGGGAGGTATGTAACTTAAGTGATAAACCTGGTGATATTTTTATGTAATGTAGAAATAAATGCCCAGTAAAATATACATACAGTAATATTCTCTAAAACTCAAAACTAAAAACAGCCACACCTCAATTGGTTAAGGTTTAGCAACTTTCTGCTTTCATTTTTAGAGGATAACTTTAATTGAATTAACTCCTTGGTCAAATATGCCCTTAGATTGTACTTTGCTAGATATTCTACTATATACAATATCTCTTACAAAATATCCCATGTCAATGATATCATTCAAGGAGTTGATGCAAATCTACATAGATTAAAATGTGTGCAGGTAATAAGCACTATATATTCATCATGATTCATGAAATTTGTCTGCAACATTACATCTTTTCTATAGTGAGTCTCAAATGTTTAACAAATTGGAAAGCATTGCACAATCGGAGGAGCCAGAAACTCCAGTTCTTGGTTGTAAGATTAGCAGAGCTTTGGAGCCTTCTATTGTTGGGAGTAAAGTATGTCACTTAATTGTGAAAACTTTGAACTTCTTCACTGGATTTAAAACACACCATGTTTCATATTATGCTGGTCTGTCAATCAGTAATTTTAACAGGATTTAGATTAATTGTATTTTTTTACTTGGCTTGTTTTTAGTTTATAACAAGTCGTATAAACTGGGTAGTTCAGTCATCTGCAGTGGACTATCTTCATCTCATGTTGGTCTGCATGAAATGGCTGTTTACCGAATGTGAAATAGATGGGAGGTTTTGTATTAGCATACATGATGAGGTATGATTTTGTTATACGTTTTATTATTTAGTCCTCTTTGTATCGCACAGCTACAAAGTGCCGTAGGGAACACATTTTTTGGGGGAGGAGGGGTGTTGGGTTTATGTCCCGGTTTTTATAGATAAAATGTCGGTGGTTTACTATGTTATGTTATGTTATGTTTTTATGATGTTATGTTTATGTGTTTATGTTATGTGTTTATGTTATGTTATGTTATGTTATGTTATGTTATGTTATGTTATGTTATGTTATGTTATGTTATGTTATGTTATGTTATGTTATGTTATGTTATGTTATGTTATGTTATGTTATGTTATGTTATGTTATGTTATGTTATGTTATATTTATGTTGGGTATTATCATTTTTCAACTACAACGGCGGTGTATGCTATCAAAAGTTGTACCGGGCAGTTTTATTTCATATTTACTATTTTTTAGATATCATTATTTAAGTGTGATTTAATTGCACAGTTTTCAGTATTTTCAATGTGTATTCCATACACTATTAAATAATTCTCTATCAGATAGCAATGATGTAGAGTTTCCTTGTATTATTCGTGTATGTAGGTTCGTTATTTGGTGAACAGCAAGGATCGTTACAGAGCAGCGTTGGCTTTGCAAATTACAAATCTATTAACGAGATCAATGTTTGCATACAAACTTAACATCGACGATCTACCACAGGTAAGTGAAGTATTTTTGAAAACGTTCCAGTAATTTCTTTACTGAGTTCTCATGAAAAGATTGCCAAATTAATTTAATGATTATACTTAATGTATTCGATTCACATAACCTTTATGTTGTCAACGATAATTTGTCAAATCCTGTATAAGGGGGATGATACAGTGTGTCGGACAGTAGGTCACTTTTGATTAAAATTTCATGCACAGTAAATCCTAAACACACGAATTTAATCCTTCTTCAAGACATGCATGAAAAATAACTTTATATTTTGACAAATAAGTTTTGAAAACAAGCCATAACACGAGAACGAGGCTCGCGGTCTTCGCCCCTAGGGGATCATGATGTTTTGCATCATTGCACGTGGCTCGTGAGAGTAAAACTTAAAATCCATTTCATGTAAGGTGGTTCTAAATTTAAAAAATTGTGACGTTAAAATGTTGTCACATAATTACCGAAAAGATTATTCTAATAGACCCTGTAATGCTTGCCTAATATGAAGGATTGAATTTATGTATTTTTGATTTACTAAACTAAGTTATTATCTTATTTTGGTTATAACCTGATTGTTTATCTTACGCAACGGTTTGTGTTTTTTTCTGGTTGTAGTCTGTGGCGTTCTTCAGTGCAGTTGATATTGATTCAGTGATCAGAAAAGAAGTCACTATGGACTGCAAAACTCCGTCAAATCCAAGGGGTTTTACTAAAATCCATGGAATACCTCAAGGTAGCTAGCTTTGTGCACAGTTTCATGTTTGCTACAGAATGATACATGTTAACAAATTTAAATTTTTACAAATCATTACATATTTTAAAGCTTTAAGAGTTTTTTTCAACGGAAGAATTTTAACCCTTAATGTGCGACTCCAGAACTTTTACTTGTGCAACTTTTATAAATATAAAAAGTTGCATTTAAAACATTACATAGGAAAATTGTTCCTTAATATTTAATTTTTCCCAAGGCGAAGCTCTTGATATTTACGAGATTCTGCAGAAAACAGACAATGGATGTTTAGAGAAGAAAGATGACGATGTCTGTATCAATGAGGACCATAGTGTCAATTGATGATCTCCAGATATTCAGAAGGTAAAATTTAGAAAGCGTTCTTTTTATAAAATTCACGAATATGTAGAGATTTGCCATTGGCTAGCTATAAGTTACCGTATTTAAAACTATATATAGGCGATGTTGACATGCACCTACATTGTTTAATGTTACCAATGTGTCCGTTTCTCCAGAGCCGCCACTAATATGCCATATTTTTAATTAATATCCCGACCACTTGGGTACCAAAATGTGCTTTCCTGTGCAAAGTGCGGTTGTTCTAATTTTTGAGCAATTACCAACCAAAGGGGATTGAGAGCGCGATGAAAAAATGAAGAACCTCATTGAAAATGAAATTTATATATTGAATTCAAACAAATTTTCTTAACCATGAATTAATACCAAGCAGAGTTATGCTTGCACAATTGAAGTGCGCTTTGACACTATAACAGCTAGTGTGCGACACAAATATTTCAATCATTCAATAGTTGTTGAACGTTAAGTGTTGCTGGTTATTTTATCGCAGACATACTTATACATACATACATATACTTATACATGCTCTATAATTAGCTACAACGCTACACCAGTCTCAAATCAGGACTGTTCTACAATGTACATATACACAGCAAAATCCATTCATGTTATATGTTTGGCTTATTCTAACACATTCGAGAAACATCTTCCTTTGCTCGAAGTAAAATTTAATTAAAATAATTGAGTTAAACGACTAAATATTTGATAGCAAACATGTTTCGGCTTACACTAAGCCATCTTCAATGCGAAGTGAGCTAAGAATATTTACAGTAGGATGTGTGATACAATAAAGTGAGATATGATATATGATATATCACATATGTATCACACATCCTGCTGTAAATATTCTTAGCTCACTTCGCACTGAAGATGGCTTAATGCAAGCCGAGACATGTTTGCTATTAAAAATTTAGTCGTTTACCTCAAATGTTTAACTTGTCTTGTGCTATTACGAAATTACGGAAATGCATGTTAATTAAAATATGACCAAACGTTTTTACACACTTTGCTTGTGGCCTGTCCTCTCTGAGGTTGTATAAGCTCGAGTTAGTATTTTATAGATCTTGTATTCCTTTAAGTTTCTTCCAGAGTGCCGAGTTTATTAATTGTTTTTAAACAAATGAATCTAATACAAAATAACATTTCAGATATAATTAAACAAACTTAGCTAATTTTACTATATTATTTATTCACATCCTTCAAAATAGTAATAACTCGCTAACCTAAATTTCAGACGTACCACATGCACTCATCTGGTGATTTTCTAATGTTGCGAAACCCCCTGTGTAGTGACCGCTCAGTGCTCAGTGAGTCGCGACAGGATGTCATGTTTGGTGATGGTGAGGCCCATCATTATATCTGCCATTCACATTGTTAGGCAAGTTTATTGTGGACTTCTCCAAAACTTCGGTCTCGTGGTAACGGACGTGTGCTTTCTTTTACGTCTACAGCTTCCTTTTCGTATTCTCAACGTTTGCTACAAAATCTGTCATCTGCGGGACAACTCCTTGCTTGGAGTATTTATACATGTTGCTCTGTTTCCTGTGCATTGTATAATAATGTAATAATCTCTTCGTTAAAACATCAAACAGCCTGAGCTAAAATCACACGCGAACAAAACTATCGTTTTTAAAAAACAAACTCCCTCTGATGTGACATGCAACTTCAGTCAAATTACAACAGCTACGGCAAGTTTTCATTTGAATATGCATCCATTTTTTTGCTCAGCCTGTAGAAAAACATGTAGATAAATTGTTTTCCAGATGTTCGAAATCGCCTTGTAAGCACTGCATCGAGCCACCTTAAAAAAAATTTGTTACATAACTAATTAGGCGCCCTTGGCAATCGGGGGAAGGAAGTGTCAACTATTAAATACCGTGATCAAATATCGCAGAAAATACCAACATTCCAAGAAACAGTGGTTATTGGAAGAAACAGTATTGCTACTGCATACCGCGTTAACATTGCGAATTTTAGCGTCTATTCGGATCATGGCTACTAGTACGACTGGGCATAGTTCTGGTATATCTAGCGAACGAACATCTGGTATATCTAGCGGTATATCCGAACGAACATCGCTCGGAGAAATAGATGCATCGCTATTTGATGACGACATTTCCCGACTTAGAACAACTACACCAGTTGAAACGAGGGTTCCGGAGGAGCTGTGGTACAAACACATACTCTCCGAGTTTAGTTCTGCGTGGAACGATGTCGACCATTTGTGGAGCTCGGAAGATCGCCGCAGCAAACTCTACGCTGTCGTATCCTTCATTAGCCTACCCTTGCGTGCCCTTATAAATGCTGCGTCGCCGCATAATAACAACACAGTTCCTAACCATACGTCTGTTTGCTATTTGTTTCTGCTTATGTGTTACACTTTTGTGCTCAACTTAATTGAACACAATGGGAACAAAAGACGGGATACGTACGTCGCTTTTTGTATGGCCATAGCGATCGCCGCGATGCTTTATCTGTATTTGTTTACAAAAGATCGAGTACATCACGACCCTCGCCACGATGCGCCAATGCGAATTTTTTTTCGTCTTGGAATGTACATTTTTGGTTTCGCGACGATGGTGAACAGCATCTGCCTGGCATTGGATGAATGGAATTGCACACATGTAATACTCGACGAATTCGACAACAGAAGTGCCGCGACCGCACAAGTTCTGAAGGCGTTGTTTGTCGTCGCGGAAACGCTCTTTCTCGGGTACTTCCATCAGGCTTGTCTTCCGCTAGACACCGCGTTTCTGCAGATTTGCATCGCTCACATTCTCGGCACAAACCTGACGCTATGGTTTTGGACGCTTTGCGAAGAGACAAAAACTCTCAACAATTCCCATTGCACAGACCAGCCGCTGAATTGGGGTCGCTTCCAGAAATTCTTCTACCCAGTTTTCGTGGAATATCTGATCCTTGCATTAGCTATACTCTACGGTCTGTGGACAAATTTAAAACGCGAGGATGAAACTCCGTGTCCTTTTTGCAAAGATTGCATGAGATGCGTGTACCGTAGACAAAATCGTCTCCCGGAAGAAGAAAACGATATAAGCAGGTCACGTCGACAGCTTTATGCACCTCGTTGCGGCTTTGGGGTAATGATTGGAACAATTTATGTTGCTGTGTTTTTGCTAATGATGATGTTAGCGATCGTTAAAGTTGATAACCTCAATACCTATGGTCTTGCTGAATTGTTTCCAAAACCCGATAAAACTAACATACATCGTATTACAAATTCCAGCAAACCAGATTTCGAGGGTAATGCAACGTTTAAAGGATATTGCTGGGCGTCTGTTATTTTGTATTTAACCATGATATGTGCGTGTTATGTTATCCTTACTTCCCTGAGATCACCGCGAAATATTGACCGTGTGCGTTCCGTTGACTACGACGACGTCCTGTTGTATATTTCTTTGATGGGCATACTTCTTTTGGAAGGATTTCATCTTGTGAGCAAGATACTAACGTACGAGGCGCATCTGCATGTCGTGGCCGTTGATGTTAGCAGTACTGTTCAGCATTTGACTCAAGCCGTCACGCTCATAAGCCTAAGTCATTATCGCGGCGCAACTGGTCATCGTAATCGAACCTGGATATGTGAATGCATCCTTTTTTTGCTTCTTGCCAACATGGCATGGTGGATTGAGGACTCGTTTTTCCTCGAACCTACGCTTGAAAGACCCGGCGAAGTATTTACCATCAAAGGAATAGCAACTTATGGGGCCATTGTAAAGCCAATGGTGATCTTCTTCCGTTTTCACTCCGCTACATATTTCTACAATGCGTGGACAATTTACAGACTCTGAACAGAGTCCAAGTCAATTCGTATTCTGCCTTGGACAATGTTACGGTTCTATATTAGCGGTCTATATTTTACGTCTAAATTGATAGATGGGTATAATGAAAAACGATAGGGTTTGATAATATGCTTGTAATTTTGCATGGTGCAACACATCTGAGTTGATAGGGACCTTCGTCAGGGTAAAAAATTTCTGCAATGCAAATTCTTCCGAAAGTATAGGCCCGGTTTCAAACGTCGAACTTTCCATGTGCCGAACCTAATATCGACCAAGTTCGACCAAGCTCGACAAAGTTTGACGTTGGTTTCAAATGCGTCGTGCTTTGTCGTACTTAATAAATAATTAAATAATTTTTACGACCGCCCAATGCCATTGGTCAGCAGCATTTACCGCGCAATTTTTACTTCCACTGGTAACTGGTAAAACCGGTTTTTCTCAGAAGTCACATTTGGTTCGGCACCTAATCGGTTCGACGTTTAAAACCATGTCGCGGTTTGTCGTCCTCTGGTCATTCCGCACGACCTGGCCAGTCAAACTTAATGCTTCTTAGGTCGAACTTAATTCAAACAGTCAAACTTAATCGTTTCAAACGACGAACTTTCCATGTGCCGAACTTAATCAAGCGGTTATAAAAACCCATCTTGCCTTGCACGCTCAATTTGGTGTCAAATTTTATTTGGTTTTCAGTCATTAAACTGATTATTCTTGGGTGCTGATTTCTTTTCTTTTTCATAATGTAATTGAGGTATCCCAAATTATATTATATTGGACTGGAACAAGTTGTACCTTCGTAAGATACTTTCTTTAGGTAAAGGACTAAAGGTAATGCTTCGCGTTGTGTAGATTTAAAAAAAACAATCCTGCGTATAAATTTAGTCAAAGAAGACATGAAACTCGTCCGAAGTATGCTAACTTGTGCGAAGTTGAGACAATGTTGCTTGACATCAACTCGTTTACACATCAACGCGTTTATCTAACCTTGGTGATCAATTGTAAAGAAGTGACATTTCAGAGAATTTTTGCCCGGTAAAAGCCGCACGAACATTGCATCAAATAACTTTTATATGAAACATTTGGGCACATGTAGGACGATTTAAAGGGGCTGTTTACATGAGCCCGGTTACTTGAGATTCAACGAAGCGTGAGAGGACTTTGAGGTATTGAAATAAGTCTTTATGACACCAAACAAGCACATGCTATTGTTGTGGTGATTATACGACCGCCAGATTATATATCTGCTCATTTCAATACCTCAAAATCATCTCACGCTTCGCTGAATCTCGGGTAACCGGGCTCATGTAAACAGCCCCTAAAATAGTATTGACAGCTTCTCCAAAAAAGAAGTTTTCCGTCACAAAAAGGGCACCTTTCGTTGCTTGAAAATTTTTTTCGGGGGGGGGGGCACGAGCCCGCTCGTACCCAGGCGCTGTAATGGTAAAAAAATGTTGCATTCACTTATTGTATAGAGGTCAGCTGGAAAAAACGAGAGCGCGCGGGAGTGCTTGGGGTGGTTTTGGCAAAGGAAGCGCCTGGCAGAAAATGATTTCAACATGTAAACAATCAAATGAATTATACATACCACTTGTTAACCGAATTTGAGGTCCGTACTAGAAAAATATCAGACCGAGGTCAAAGAACCAACCAGCGGCCAGCGCACAGTCACGAGACCGCGTGCCATATAATAAAATATAATATAATACAATATACTTATATACTATAATTACTTGAATTAGATCCAGGTTTTTGCAGATACACTTGTTTTTAAAAATGTCATAGGTTGATTAATATTGAACATTTTATGTTACAAATTATATCCGATAAGTATCACGTATGGAATCAATTTACTTTTAAATTCAAGGTGTTGCCATATCGCGTTGAATTCACCATCGGATTATTAAACCTGTAAACAAAGGAGTATGAGTTTATCTTTTGTGTCATGAACAGAAAGCTCTTAATATGCTGTAAATGCGCTCGCTTTTCCCAATAGTAAATATGTAAATAAGGGAGGCGATTATTCGAGTACAGTACTCACTCTAACCATCTGACGGAAAATATTTAAATAAAAGTAGGAAACGTTCACAATACTTGGCTAGCCCATCGGCAGTCGATTCCATTAAAAAAAATTATAAATAATGAAAAAAAACTGCAAAATACAAACGTGTTTCAGAAATCGGTAACGTTCGATTTGTCAGAAATTAGTCATTTTCTGCCAGGCGCTTCCTCGCTAAACAAAACCACCCCAAGTACCCTTGCGCGCTTACTTTTTTCAGCTGACCTCTATACAATTCCTGAATGCGACGTTATATATTTTACTGCCAAAGCGCCTGGGTACGAGGCTGATGATTTGAAATGAAAGAACAAACACTATGGTTTAAACTGAGAGGGGTTACATGCAGTGGTTTCTACGTGTCAGTTCTGCTCATAGAAATGGATAGCTGCTACTTGATTTCAAATTGCTAAAATTTAATTAGGTATTTATTTAGTTTTTAGCTATTTAGTATTATATGTATAAATAAATATGACTATAAATAATAGTCAAATATTATGACTATATTCTTGATATTTTGAGAAATACAATGCTTAAAAATGTAAGTAAAGCTTTTGTTTACATAACGGATAGGATGTTGCCCTTATAGGATCCTGTCAAGGGAAGTTTTTCAAAAATTTTCAACGTTTGCATGCTTACATCTTTTTCTGGTGCCTAATATTAAAACCGAGATTTTACCGGTTTTTATAATGCTAAAAACATAAATACTATAAAAGCGTAGTGGCTTTCGTTCAATAATAGCTTGTTATGTATTTTTAATATAATATAGTTATAATAATTATTTACAATGTTAAGATATACCATGTGTTCCAAAAAATTTTCCTCTATTGGAATCGTATATCGGAATATATAGTTTGCAATGCCTTGCTGCTATCTATTTTATACAAACAATACTTTCCATTAATTAATTCATTAAAAAGTGAGTATCATGCCAGTGATTGGAAGGCGACGTGATAAGTAGTAATATATAATTATAGTATAAATTTCGAGGTGTTTGCAACAATTTTATAAAAAATTATGATTACTTTAAATTTCTTCTTTAAAAAAAACCATCAAAAGCTAGCTATAGCAGAAAAAATCAATAGTCACCTCGAAATTTATACAAGTGAAATTATAGACCTCTTTTCAGAGACCCAATACGTTGGTGCAGACATATATGTTCCATGATACAGCTTTTTGCATGATGCCAAGAAGATGGTGTTGTCAAAACGCGCACCTGACAGTCATTAATAAATGTATCCGGTATCTCTCAGAAAACTCTCAGACGTTATTTTGTTGCGAATGCCTTCGGAAAATTTTAAAATCTCCGAACGCTGATCTTCTACGATGAGAGCTTTTTTTCTTCGTTTTAACTCGCATTTCGTCCCCGGAGCATGCGCTGTCTGAATCCGAACTGGAGCCCAGTACCTTCGCTATGGAATCTTTGTTGACTTCATTAAGTCCAAAGAAAACGTCCTGAATTCCAACATTCGATGCAGCAGATGCCTCGCAAAATGTCCAGTCATATTTTGTGGCCATCTTCTTCCCCTCGAAGGTCGTGACTTGCCTCTCGTTTTCTTGGTCGCTTTTATTTCCCACCAACTTAACGTGTGGTTTGTCCTTCATTTCACGTGCGTCGAGGATTTCCTGCCGGAAAACAGGAACCATGTCGAAGGAACTACGATCGGTGACGGAATACACAATGATAAAAGCGTCGCCATACTTTAGGAAATCTTTTCGCAACTCCGACTTCACGTTCCCCTGGATAAAAGAATCATAAAAATGATGTTAATTTCTACACCATGCATGCACCCATCTTGAACATGTTATGTGTTTTGAGAAATTATAGGCAAGGGTAAATAAAAAAAAATAAAAAAGCTATTTTAAGGAATTTCATAAATATTGATTTACGATTATCTTTCATCTCAACTTACAGTGGTTGCAGTGTCTAAGATGTCTATTGATTCTGGCTCATCATTACACACATATATTTTTCTATACGTGTCCTCTGTAAGATAAATAAGGAACATTAGATTTAACTCGTTCAATGCAGCTTCAACTTCGTAAAAGTAAGGGCTCTATCGCTCATCACACGCTCGCTGCAAGTGCTTGTTATATCCAATTTTGAAATGCATCTGTTTTTATTCAAATGGACAATTCAAGTGTCACGAATATGCATTGAACAGAGAATCTTTTTGAGACGTGAAAAGTTTATATTAATGTATATAAAATGATGAAGTTTTTACCGTAACACGAAAGCTAGTTATAACTTAAAACCTCACGGTCAGAAACAATACTTAATAGTAAAGAACATGAAAAAACCTGTCAAAGGCGTTAAACCTGACATAGAAATGTAGCTATATACATTAACGATAATTACGATCTAAATTCTGAAGGCTGCTTATACGTATACGAAAATATCAAATTCGTAAAAAAAACAAATTATTAAATGAGTAGAGAAGTCACAAAATTTCGTTTTCTGTGTCATTTAATGTGTGCTGTTTAATCTGTGTTGTAATATATGCATGATTAGAAACGCCTAAATATTTTCGTGAGAACACGTGCTAATGACTTATGAATAAAGCTTTTAGGTGAAAATAGCCTCTGTATGGGCTTTCGACTGAAACTTATTTTTATCACCAACGTGCAATTTCACATGACCTCAAATTTGCGCAGTTTTTAGCTATATATATTCATATACATACCTATTGTAGGGTCATAGTCAACAATGTATCTGCCTGTCAGAAATCTGACGAGTAAAGCTGAAAAGAAATAAGTTAAAAAATGATCACAACAATAAGCGCGTGTTACTTGTGGGCCTTATAATTGGACTTGTATATAGATGGTTTGTGGCTTGTTTGTTGATCATGCAGTCGTTATTAAAAGTGTTTTCTCGATTCGTGATTCTGTCCGAAGACCGAGCGTAAGGCCGCGCATAGCAAGGAACAGATTTTTGGCCGCTTTTTCTGCGAGTCTATAAATATAATCGGCCGAATTGCCTATTATTACCGTACTCGCGACCTTGCATGCATGTTTTATGATGATGATGCATGCATGTGCTCGGCGGGCTATGATAGAGTCAAAATCGAATTTTAAACTAATCTCCAAAAAGATCGATGCAGGTTTATTTATGCGAAGCTTCAATTTGAAGTAAAGTTATAGGCGCTCAAGATGCGGTTATGTGCTGCGTCCTGATAAAAAAGTATAAAGAGGTTTTGCCAATCGATTTTATCGTTACACATCGTATAGCTTTGATGTGTTTTTTTTTGACGTCCGACTATAATCAACCGATTCTAATCGTGTTAGTTTTTGTTTAATGATATTGCAAATCAATACATGGTAATCAATACGAGGATTTCTAAATATTCTTAACTTTTTTATGGACTAAATCCTCCGGTTTTTAAACGCTGATCACTTGACATCGTGCACCGAGAGAACATGCCTTATTTCCGCACTGTTTCAATAAAATGTAAAAAATTGCTCTAAAAGGAAAGTATAGAATAACCGATCTTTTTCTGAGATGTGTCAAACTACCCAGAAGTTGGCATTTATCCCTTGATCTCTGGACCCTGTTTTTCACAACGGAATGCCATGGTAACAACAAGAGGTGCTTATGCATGTTTGTCCAAGTTACATTGTTGATACATTTAAAATCTGTATATTTTGAATAATTGCTTATAAATTTTACCAATTTCGTAACATTGTAAACAAAGATCGCTAATCGCTACGGTCTGCGCGAAATCGTATTTCTGCGCAATAATGTTGTATTATTAGGACTCTTTCGTGTATTAAGAGACATGCACGCAGCACGCTATATAGTGCTTGGCCTGTTTTAAATCATCATGTGCCGATGAGAGGCACGATGTTTAAAACAGGCCAAACAACACATTAACAACAATAGATAATGATTAATTATTATTTTAAATGCTCTGGCAAATGAAAAGCACAAGGCCTTATCATTCTTTAATTTGCGGTATACATGCATGCATGCAGACAAGCCGACGAATCAAATTGACCCGCTAGCAGGGGCCTTATGCAAGCCGTGGCTGCACTAAGGATATCCTGTCTTAAATATATATATAACCATGTACATAAATATATAACCATGCAAATAACTTTCTTTTAGGTTCATGCACACTAGCTGATCATGATACATAAATATGCTCGCTGTTGCAACCTCGTATATATATCGAGCCTGACATTATACGCAAATGATGATAGACGTTAGCTATATATTATCAACAAGGTAATTGATGCGAATCTATAGACTATTCCTGAATCTAATTATTGTCACATATGTTTGCACTTAAGTGTTCTATAAACCACTCAAATATATGAAAAACGTCGCGATTTGTGGTATATATATAATATTGATTGCATTTACAGATCAGCATCAACAACATCGGATTAATTCATATGTATATGCGATATATATTCATATTTTTGCGCTGTCGCGTAAATTAAAACATTTCTGGGATATATGAGATTTTTTCGCGAAAATATTTCCTGTGCAGTCACCCGTTCCTCGTGTTCTAAATCACATATAGCAAGAGTTCTAAATTTTAGAACGTCGGATATATGTGACACAGGTGATCACCTAAGCATCCTGTGAGGTATTCATTAAGGTAGCTCTACGTATTTTTTTCTCTTTTGCGCGGTTTGTCAATATGGCGACTCATTCGAGAAGTTATGATGTTTTAACTGACGAGCAAAAGCGTGTCCTAAGGTCTTTTTATGACAGCGGTATGAAAACTACAGCAAAGGATATGCACAAAACGATAATGCGAGCTGCTGATGAGGTTGGGTTAAGCTACGAAAGAGTTAAGGTAACATTTACAATCATATTGTTTAATGTTAAATCGTGTATGACATAGTCACATACACATCCCCTTTTGCTCATTCACACTGATACTATCTCGTTAATACAGTTATTGAAATAGGACAATAGGTATTGACATTGTGCTGGTATAAAAATTCCGAACAGTTCCGGACAGTTTATTAAATTCATGAATAATCCATAATCCATTGCTTAATTTGCATAAGTTCATAGTATGATAAAGTATGGCCGCGCGGAATGTAATCAACTGTGAATATTACTGTATACTCACTGCCCTGGCAGATTCCAACGAATGATAAATGTGTTCTTTATGTGTATTTTATTTATCACCATGTGATTTTGCTTTCCCATCGAAAGTCTTTTGCCATGACATGTCCCTTCCCCTACCTAACCTACTTTAAATTGGCTAGAAAAACAATTTATACAGTGTTTGGAAATTTCAAATTTGGCTAATTATTGGAATGAGAGGGAAAAGAAAAGTAGTGGAAGGAGTAGAACCATGCAAAAGATACTGGGCAATCAGAAAGCCATGTTGTTAAAGGTCCTCCGCTAAAGCGTTCAACTTCAGGTTTCAACATATTTACATCAAAACTCCTCAGCTCAGGTATAGAGCATATGAAAAGCTCTGGATAAAAAAGCTTATTTATACTACATGTATTTGTAACTAGCTGTAAGTTCTACGACTGGTGTTAGTAATACAGCATCTTTGGTAGATTAACCCGGTCCCATTGCTGGCTGGAGTTTTGCATGATGAGTGCAATTCAGTGGCGTAGCCAGCCCAACTATTTGGTCGCAATGCAATATTTCATTTATTAATTTATTTAAAATCTATATAAACATAGAAAAATTTGCATAGCATGATCAAAATAGTCGGGCTGGCTATGCCACTGCAATCATCTGGTGCTAGACAGGGTAAAATCTGTTGAGCAGCTTAATCTATCGAGCTGCTTGTTGCCACCGGCCTCACTGGCAACTGGTTAATTAGTGAGGAATGTTCATCAATGACTACAGTGTATGTCATTTTCTTTGTAGATGAATGTAAGAAAATTGAGTCAAAATCTGAGAAAATGACCTTTGTTGCAACAAAGTGGCAGTCTCTGAGTGATAGTGAACGAAGTGTTTGGAAGAATGAAGCTAAGAATATTAAAGAGTTGTGCCGTCACTGAACATTGGAAGAGAAAAAAAAACAAATTGCAAAGTCAAAAAAATCTCATTAAAGAGGTGAAAAGATAATATATTGTAGTCCAAAATATAACTAACATAACTGTGGATACCCCTGTTAAGATGATGATGAATGCATTTTTTAAAATGATGAATGCATTTTTTAAAATGATGACTGCATTTTTAAATTTGTTTGCTATATGGTATTTTATTTGCCGTTCCACTACCACTAACTCATTGTGGTGAGCTTTCTTGTGACAAGTAAAATTGCCTGGTATTAGACAGGTAAAATCTGTGGCCAGTTATAGGTGGCCTTGCTGGCCATGGCTTAATTAACAGATTTACTATATCTCATGTAAGGGACTCAGGTGATATACTCATCAGTCATAAAGGAAAAGCCCATGAATTATAATAGAATAATTATTTAATAATTTTAATATCTTTAATTCTTAGCTAACATATCTTGAAAGCCTGGGATGTGAATCAGCAGTTCTTATGCACGACTCTGGAACTGGGACTGTTAACCAGTATGGATCAGCAAAAGGAGCACAGTTTCTGCTGCAAGATAATGCAGTGGCATTGAAGTTCATGAATTTTTTCGGTAAGCGTATTTTTAGCATAAAAATTTAAATGCTCGCAACCAGGCCTTTGAGGATGAACAGATATGCTGTTAGCCTCTGTGCACACTCTACACATATGCACAAAAGGGCTTTATGTAGAATTGCAATGCACAAACTCTACCCACAGCCATCTTGTGCGTTCGCGTAGAGTCTGTAGTGACACATGCTAGCCTGCTGTCAGTAGTGCCACTTTGACACT